CAAGGCTAGTGACGCATGGATTGCCTCCGACATCAAAGATAACCACTTAATACATTGTCATCCGCCTCCCCTTCTCTTCTCAGTGTCCTGTCAAAACTGACGGTCCATGTTACTTTTAGGGAAGTGTCTTCAATTACTGTCCAGTGTTCTCAAAAAGGTATAGAGGAAGTGAAATGCCAACACCTTAGCTTCTCAGCCACCTTTTAGCTTGTAGATTAATATCCCGCTTCTATGTTTTGAGCTATTAGAACAGCGAAAGAAGATTTTTATGTAGTACTGATGAAGATAACAATTCATCCAGAAAGTAGATGTAAAAATGTTATCATGCTGCTGCATTTAAACCAGTATACAATTAAAGAATACAGTTACAATTGTTCTTTCCGCTTAAATGAGTGATTGAATTTTACTAACAATTTGAATTTCTCCAAAGAGAAATAATATTGCTTTTGAATATCAGTTCCCTCCAGGAAACACTGACAAAGTAGTAACTAGATTTACCTTTGAAATTAATTTGTGTATTCCATCAATTCGAGAGGCTCCTAATAATATAACACTTCCCATTTATTGCTAGGGCCCTTTTTTTTAAAAAATAATGTACATCCTAAAAAACAGTCTAGCAGTTCTCAACCCCCCCTCTAAAAAACAAAATGAATTCTGTCACTGACACTAGAAGGATACTCAAATGGAAGAAATAAAAACTGCTTTTGTTTCCTTATGATATACTCCCAGGAGATAGCAACTCATCAGTAAAGGTAAAATACACTTGCGATCATCTTTAGTTTGTTCCACAGGAACAGAAGTAGCTTGCTAAGCTTTACATCAGCTTCATGTGCTGTTCTTATTGGGGATTATGTGGTAATATCTTGCAGAGATAAAAGGAAGTGGTAGAATAATTCCCCCCAAAAAAGATTTCCAGTTTTGTGAAAAACTCATTCATTTAATTTTATTATTTTTTAATTTGAAAACTCTTTTGCCTTTTTCAGTACCACATGAAGGGATATAGAAATAATGCATTGTGGAAAGACTACATATTATGAAATAAATCAAAATTGCTACAGTTGAATTGCACTGTACATTCGATATGTACATACAGAACCATAGCAGCTAATTACTGTCACAGAAATCTCAGCATTTGGAAAAGAAAAATAAGAAACAGCAATGAAAGAAAACAATAATAGCAACAAAAAAAAACAGCAATAATATTGTTCAACAAACAAAAATCAAGCTAATTTAACCTATCAGCATTAGCAGAACTTTTAAAAAATTTTAAGCCAGGAGGAGCTACAAGTTGATCATAACATGCATAGGTAAATCTGAACATAACTAACTTTGGAAGAAAGTGATATATTATTTTATATGATACCCTTAACATATTTAAGGTCTAATCTGCAGGAGCTTTACTTTCATACAGCAGAGCCTAATAAGAACACTAGCTAGATGGTGGTCATTCAAGTAGTTAGAAAGCTTTTGCCTAGGTTTTATAAAGTCAAACTAATAGCAAAAAAAAAAAAAAAAAAGCATTAAAATTAGCATAAAAGGAAAAATAAGGTGAAAGTTGTTACTCAGGGTATCTGCAATCACACAGGACTTAGGAGCAGATATACCTTATGTGGTCTGAGAGCACTCACTGCCAACTGAGTCCTCTCCAAATCTATACCCCTAGAAAAAAATCTGCTCAGCAAACATAATTAATATTTACTACTGGTCTACTTTCAAATATTCTCATAAGTGGAAAAAAAAAAAAGGCATGAAAATTCTTTCTTTCTTTTCAGATACGTTCTTCGTGGGTTTTACATAATGTTTACTGGAATAAGAACAAGAAAAAGAAGATCCATAGCTCAACTTTCCTATGAATGACCTGAAAGGAGGTTGGGGAGAACCAGAAATAACCCCTCAGAGGTCTGTTTTTATAAATAAGTAAATGTGGGATTATTGTTTTTTCATTTCTGTTTCCATGGCAAACAACTATCTGTTCTTAATTTATCTTTCTACTAACTAATTATTCTATAGGCATTTAGGAGATACAAACAGCAGTGCTGCATCTAGACAGCATCTCTGGCAGGAAAAAAAGATTCCTGAAGACATATTTCCCTCCAGCAGAATTAAATGCATTTCCTGGGACAACACTCTCTAAAAACCTAAACAAAGAATTGGGCAGAAATTAGCTTTAAAAATAATTAATAAAAAAAAAAAAGGGAACTTCAAAACTGTGAAGAGTTTTTTCCCCCTTGATCTTAAAGAAAAATGAATTGAGAAAAGCTCAAGTTTTAAGTCTCATCCAAAATATGAAAGACAAACCAAGGGATGGAGGGTAGCATATGTCTGAGCATCAGGAAGTGTAGCTAGCACCTTTCACTTCACACTAAGGGCACATTCTTAAGCAAAAGTACAAGCGTTACTGACAGAGATGCAAATCTCCATGAGGACTGCAACCAGCTGATAAGGCCTTACAGAGCTCTCAAAAGATTTTCATGAAGGAGTAAGAACAAAAACTTTTAGGAGATGGTAATGCTGCACTGAAGAATATTACCACACTGGGGTGCAGGACTGATGAGTGCATTTTGTCTGGGAGCATTTCTGAGGCGCTTACCTCCTCTGAAGTCTCTTGGCGTCAGGATGAATGCTAGCTGTCCTCGGGCTGCCATCCCTTTGAGGGGAGGGAGATACAGATGAGCCCAAAGGTTCTCTTCTAAACACAAGTCCTTATGCAAGCTGGCCAAAAGGTCCCTGCAATCAAAGAAATCATTGTGGTTTTGCATGTGGCGCATTTATGTCCTTTAATCAAGGTTTGTCAGCCATCTAACGTTCAACCACAAAGAAAAAAAATGGGGAAAAAAAAAAAAAAAAAAGCATCTGCCCGGTAGCCAATGCAGAACAGAGGCTAAGGAGAGACAAGCTGCTCATTCCAGTTTGGACATTGTGTACTCCATGAAAAACACAGGCAACGAGATTTTTCAGACTCAGCAGAACATCCTCGGCGTATATTATTATGCATGTACAGATGTATAAAAAAATATTTGTCTTTGGAATCATTTTCCAACACATTGAAGTTTCTGTCCTTTTCAGATCACAAGGAAAAACGTGTTTTCATTCCTAAATATGTGTACTAGTCAATGCATTCTACAACCTAAGATAGCAGTCACCTTCCAACCATTACCTCCTGCAACTACTTCAGCAGTATACAGTTACTCCTTAAACACATTCTTTTTGCCACATACTACTTGTAACAGAGCTTGCAGAGCCACTTGCTGGGAGGGGGAACAAAATAACAAAAACTCTAATGCAATAGTGCAAGTTCTGTCAGCACCAATCAAAGAATCATTCTGCAGAACATTCATCAGACTTGTGTTTGCATCCCAATGTGCTGGAGCCACAAGCCTCGTGTTTTCCTTAGCCTGAGTCATCCCTAACAGTGCCCATATTCTCAGGCCCTTTGGCACGTTTCCTGGACACACGCCCCTTCATCATAGAAAAGAACCCTTTCAGCTCATCTGTCAAAAGCCTAGACATGTCACATTAAGCACATGAGCTCCCAAAGCTCCAAGCTAATGGGCAACCTTGGTTTCTTAGAGTATGTTATAGCAAAAGCAGACACACACATTTCTTGTACTGGCTGCAAAACCAGCTCCTAGCTATTAACCACGAGAAACTTATACAGCAATTACATAGTACACACATTCCACGTTCTAAAGGAGTGGGTACTCTTTTATTTGGGATGCTAAGTGAACACGAGTCCATACTCTTCCATTTCCCATTGATTTAAGGCCAGTTTCTTTCTCTTCAAATAACAGGAGGGAAGACTTGAAAAAATTATGTCACTTAACCATAAGGTGAAGGTAAGCTTTTTTATCACCTAATGGAGGTGGCAGTTAGTGATTTCCCTCCTCCCTGTTCATCAGGTAAAAAATTACTTTATAACCATGTCTATCCAGTCCATGCTTCATGGGGAAGAATAAATTCCAACCTGCAGCAGATCTTTTCCAAGAAATCCCATCTAAAGAGACAGTCAAAGAATAACGAGTGAGCAACATATTTATACTGCAACCCCAACATTTCTTCCATTTACCAAGAATGCAAGAAACAAAAAGGTAATCCATAATCAAGGCTCTTTATGTAGTTGAATTTTACTAATAAGTGCATCAAATGGTTATTCATAAACTCTATGAAGTCACAAAATAAGAAATTGAAAGCCAAAGTAAATTAGCACTAGTTTACAGAAATCATTCTCCAGATGAACTATATTACAACAAAAGCAGAACTATCAAGTGAATTTGGCATCCAATTAACAGAGAAATTAGTACATTTTTTTCCACCCCACTTGCACCTGAGTATCTTAAACCTATTTCACTAGAACAGTTCATGTTAATTACACTCAGCTTTTATAAATTACTCCCTGTTCTAGACCAGAATCAAACTTCTAATATGTGAGGCACAGGAACTATTTCACCTCCACTGTCCAAAATACAACTGCTCTACTGCTTACATTCGTTCCTCTTTACCTCTACATCAAATTAAATTCAGAAGGAAAGGTATAACTCAAGTTTACTTCTCCTTTGCACAGATATCAATACACCCAGCCATTTAACCCTTTTTGCCATTTGTATACACAACTCCCACCTTTTGGCTTGTCTTTGGAAGGAGTGGGAGGAATTCACTTGGGAAAGTAGTTTCCCACGTGAACCAAGTCATTCTGCAGCCAACAGACCCAAGTACAGTGGCAGAATTCCTGAAAGCAGGATGGGGATGAGATGCTGTTGCTGCCTGAGATCTCATCGAAAACAGGTAGCAAGGAGTGAAACTGCCCAGGAATATTTCACAGCACATGGAAGCCAGGAATCAGAGCACCACAGAGGCAGCTTTCAAAGGCTTCACAACAAGAACATAGATACGTTACTTTCAAGAAACAGTATTTTTTACTGAGCTTTTTAAAACTGATTTAGAACAAGATCAGAATTGCATGACATAGTTTAGCATCTAAATGTTAGATAATTCTAAATATAATTAATCATAAACCTTCAGTTTTCCCAAGATAGATCAGTGATGCTTCCAATCTTGATATGTTAGTTCAGTAAGGATTATTTACCCATGAAAGAGAAACAATTCAGAACTGATTACACTGATTAATTTAATGCAGATTTCAGAAACTGGTAAGAATCCCTTGGACTTCTAAAGAGAAACAGTGGAACAAAAAGCTTCTGGATTTAGAATTACAGAATTAAAAGCAATATCTATGAATAAAGGCAGTGCAAATGAACGACTCCTTTCTCATTAAGGCGTACAGCAAAAGGCTACAGGCAAACACACAAGCAGTAAAGGGTACAGATAACAAAAGTTTAAGGTTGCAAATTTCATCTCTGAAATAAGGAGGGACCAAACTATTTTAAGAATGAGAACAGGGCATCACAGCAAAACCACATGAGACAGAGACAGACAGAGTTCACAAGTTCTTCTGTACACTTTCCCTTTGCTCTTATTTATTACCTTCATCGGCTGCATTAATGGAAGCTTTCTACTTTTCTTTACATTGGCAATCCAACTAGGCCTTAAAGCCCAGCCAATCACCTCAGAAATTCTTGCTGCCTCTTTCAGATTATCATGTTGGATGCCAGTTCCTCACTTAAAGCAGACAAATGAAGGCAGACACCTCTGCTAGGCTGCTGCTTCTTGGAGAGAACTGAGGGCTTATGAGGGGCTTCAGAAGAAAAGTAGGCACTTTTATAAGTAGTTCTTACACCTGTATAAGAACTGTCTTACTGAAGTCATGTCTTATTTTGTTCCTAACACTGCTCCAGTAAGAGAGAAGAAAGAATGCAGTCACAGCTGTAGGCATTTCTACAGGGTAGGACTGGCTTTGGTCAAACAACAGAGAAGGCACAGTCTCCTTAACCTCACAAAATGCAGTAATGACAGTGCTGCTGTGACTGTAACACAACAAATGAGAGATGTGGTTACAGCCCACTTTTAAAAAATACTCATTTGTGAGCCTAATCCCCAGCCAAAATTCAGAAAGAGTGCTTTGCAAAAGGCTCACAACACAAACAACAAAACATCAAAAAACTACCGACACATCCTAGAGCTGTGGACTCCACAGTCCTACATCTAAGGGGGAAACTCCCACACTGTTCTCTCACCCTGATGAGCAGGACGTCACCTGTCACAGGCTGCCTGCTCTCTGCAAGATCACAGTGCATCAAGTTCCTTATGTTTTGACTGTATTAGTTTCTGACCCACAGCACATATTTAAGGTCACACGAGTTCAAAGATGCTTATAAATATTGAAGAAAAACGGTTAAAGCTAAAAAGCCAAAGGATGGTGACCTAAAACATACTGAGCTCACATGCAAACACATTCAGAATTACATTCTCTAGATTGCTGTGGCAAGAATATCCAACATACCCACTATGATGTCCTTGAGTTGCCTAAAGCGGGAAAGCTTAGGTTTCTAAGTTCAGCAAGTACAGATATAAAAATAACTACAATGACATCAAATCTGCCTCATACGTATTTAAGCTATCTTCCTCTTTAAAAAAATGCATTATTACTAGATAGAATTAGCTTTGCTTGGCCAATCACCCATGACATCTCGTCCTATTCAGGTTGGATATTAGGAAAAAATTCTTCTCAGAAAGTGGTGATGCATTGGAAGAGGCTGCTCAGGGAGGTGATGGAGTCACTGCTCCTGGAGGTGTTCAAGAAAGGTGCAGATGTGGCAATGAGGGACATGGTTAGTGGGCACAGTGGTGATGGCTGGACTAGATGATCTTAGTGGTCTTTTACAACCTTAATGATTCTGCAGTTCTCTTTTGGCATAAGAGATCAGAAAGCGCTGAATGATTGGTACTTAAACAATGAAAAGCTTCCACCAAGTCACTTCCTAACCTTCCCTTAGATAAACAAAATCAAGACCAAATCTTTTCCTGGGATACCAACATTCCAAATTCAACCTGTTGGTGAAGCTCTTCACTGAATGCGTTCCAGTTTTCCAGCCACATCAAACTGACCATTGCTGTTTTAGGAACAGCCTCACTGATGCCATCTACGCCAAGGTCCAGCCAGTACATGATTTACTTTGGTTCAGCCACAGCCAGAGCACTACTTACAGAGCTCACATGACAGCCTAAAATCAACTACTTACTACTTTCAGAATTACTGTTTATCAAAAATAGATTTATTTCTAGAATTCATTTGCATGAGGGAGCTGAGCCCCATTAATCAGATTTCAAGGAAGCAGCATGTTTTGTTTCATGAGACTATATTGTCATTCATAATGTTTAACCATAAGCTCTCTTCTGTTCTCTTGCAGTATATATATGAACAACAGCTTGACTTAGAGCTACACATGTAGAAGTATATTCTAGACAAAGAAATAACTTGATACAGCTATAAATGCCACAACAAATACTATCAGCAGCTATCCTTAATGTCAGCTCTTTCTGTAGATTTTTATATACGTTTTTAAGCATTCTTTATTTTATAGAAAGGGGCAAAATTAAACAGAACTCTGGTTTTCATCAGGTCAAGAAGTTCAAACAGTTATGCTAAAAATAAATATCTGAGTAAAAACCCAAGAGCTTGGAAACGCTGTTGCTTGCTTTTTTTATTATTAATATATCTTATGGAACTAAAGAAAAAATAAGACAAAGTAATTCTCATATATTTCTCAACAATAATCCAAGACAAAAGAAATGCAAAATTATTACGAACTTACAATAAAGCAGTGATTTAAGTTACTAACAAAACTGAAGAAACCTTGTTAGTGAGGCATCTCCACCTTGGAATTAAAACAGATTCCAAACAGCATAGTCTAAAATTGGATAAGGGAAATAACTTTAGAATCAAATCTAAGCTATTGAAAAACTGGTAAAACAGAATAAAATGCAGAAGGCAGAGTTGCCAGGCTCCTAGACAGAGAAAGGTTTTGAATTAACAGCAGTACTCTTCAAAAAAGGTATAGTACAGCAAAACTCAGGGGAAACAGCAAACAATGTTAGAGAATATTATTTTCAAAAATCCGACAAAGAAACACAGAGAAACCACAAAGAACGAAGCCGATGCTGTTACCTGAAATCTAAAGAAGCAACAGTCTCAGAGGTTTCATAAATCAATTGTATCAGGATCTAAAAAGAGCTATACTTTTGTCCACGGGGCATTTAAATCAGATCACAGACAGAATCATAGAATCATAGAATGGCTTGGGTTGGAAGGGACCTCAAGGATCATCAAGTTCCAACTCCCCTGCCACAGGCAGGGTCCCAGATCAGACACTAGATCAGGCTACTCAGGGCCCCATCCAACCTGGCCTTGAACATCTCCAGGGACGGGGCATCCACAACCTCTCTTTGCACCCTGTGCCAGCACCTGACCACTTTCTCTGTAGAGAACTCCCTCCTGACATTCAAACTAAACCTTCCCTCCTTGAAATTAAAACCGCCTTGTCCTATAACTATCTGCCCATGTAAGAAGTTGATACTTTTTATAATCCTCTTTTAAATACTGGAAGGCTACAAGAAGAGACAAACCTCTCATTTGGAAGACATTAAGGAGTAGATATGGTTCCCATAAAAGAGAGAATGGAGCCACTGCCTATGAAGTCTATTTCATAAAAAACATTGATCCACATTTGAAACACACCACGGCAAAGGTGGAAGTCAGTCCCTTTAGATATACACATCCACATAAACCATGCTGTTGTGATCAGCTCAAAGAGCAACCACCCAGTTATTTACTACCTCTTGTGGCAGACAAAACCCTTCTGTCCTAACACAACGTGAACGTGAATATACCATATTTAAAATGAGGCCTTAGCAAGGAGTCCGTGCACTTCTCTTCTAAATAAAAATGTGGGGGTTTCTGACAAAGACATGTTCCTCACGTTAGCTTACACTCACAGTGAAAACCTAAATTAGAATCCTTCATTACTGTGATATTTCTGTTCCAACAAACTCAGCGATTACACAGTAAGAGAAAGAGGTCTCAGGCAAGTACAGCTGTTCTGTAGAAACCTCCTAAAACTTCAAGAAGAGCTCCCTTAGTACAGCTGCACGTCACGCAGCTTAAGTGAAGCAGGTGTGGGCTAACAGAGAAGGAAGATCAATACAGGAAAAATTACTCAAAGATCGATGATTCAGCTGAACCAAACAAATGCCTAAATATTTTGTCTAGCTATAGAATCTTTGAAAATATAATATATTTTCATGGCATTGTTCATTAACCACCCTTGGTGAAAATACAGAATGTCTCCGAAAATCTGTCAAACATTTTAAAGGATGTGAGAACAGATCTTCCACATTTCTGTGAGGTTTTTTTTGGAAAGGGACATGAAATAGTCTGCAGAGTCCCAGGTGGGACTGATCCAGCACACACGTGGCCAGTACTCATTATACTGCATGGGCTTTAGAGAATAATTAATGCAGTGCTGGACAATATGGCAACAAACCCTAAGATCTTACCATTTCCCTTTTTGATCCCTTCAAAGCATCTCATTCTGCAAGGAAGAAAAAAACAGTATCTTTCTCATAAGTAGTGCCAAAATGTGCAGTCGTGGAAAAAATAATGCCTCCTAATCACTCAAGACATGACATATCAATATACTGAACACTGTTGGTGATGGACATCATATTATCAGAAACAGAGAGTTAAAAGATGGTCAGACTCAGTTCCCTCAATACAGCAATCTTAACTTGCAAAGACAACAAAGATCTGCCACAAATACACCAAGATTCCCAGCCTAGATTACAAATCAATTAATTTAAACATTAATACTTTCCTTCTTAAGTATTATCTATATTAATACAACACATCATTACTATCCAATAATAGATCTCTTTAATAAGCTAATACAATTGCATAACGTTTCCTCTGAAAGATTCTATCACATCAACATCTAATTACCACATGCTAATTTTTAAACAGCATAAAGGAGTTTTTTGGTTTGAAGAACCGTAAGTTCGGTAGTACAAAGTGTTCTGCAAGTTGATATAAATTCACAAGGAACTGAAATAATGAATTAGCATTATTAGATGTACAAGATTGTAGATATGTACAAGAAAGATACGCTTTCTTCTAGAAGTAGCTGAATCTTAATGCAGTCGGTATCAGTGCAGTATTCTGGAAAACTGATACATCTAGATGGAAAAATCAGATTGCTGCACTGAACCGAAGGGACACTGAAGGCACAGGTATTTTCAGGTCCTCCTCACCAAAAATAAGCACAAGCATTACTCATAAAACTTCCTTCCAGCCAACACCCATCACACTACCATGCCCCTCTATACTCTCCTCCCTCCTTCACTTTGCAAAAACAACAGAAGCCCCACTGTTTTCACTATATGTTGACATTTACTCAAGTCAAAAATCAAACACCAGACTCTCAGCCATACCACTTCTATACTTTGTAAAAACTATCTAGTAGCATTTCTTTTTTAGTTTTTCATTTCTAGTAGCTTTTATTTTTCTTGCATTCTATGCCACTTATCCTTTAACATTTTGCTTTGTCTCCTACAAAAGATCTGAAGTAGGGAGACTAGTCCCACTTCTGCCTTTCCTACAAGACATATTTTACTACAAAACCAAGGCTGAGAAATTTCAGAAGAAGGTATAAAAGGGCAAATTTATCCAATTTACTGTACTGAATTGTGTGCCTCCTGATGCGTACCTGTTTTGGCTGAGATAGAGTTAATTTTCTTCAAAGCAGCTTGCATGGTGCTGTTTTGGATATATGACGAAAATAGTGTTGAACACACACCAATGTTTCAATTGATGCTCAGCATAGCTTATGCAGTGCCAAAGTCTTTTCTGCTTCTTGTGCTGCCCTTGCAGGCAGGCTGGGGGTACACAAGGAGCTGGGAGGGTACAGCTCATCTCAACTGGCCAAAGGGATATTCTGCACCACACAACACCACCCTGATCAACAGTAAGAGCTAGAGTAAAGAAGGAGGAAGGGGAGGATGCTCAGGATGACTGTCCTACAAAGAGACCATTATGAGTGATTAGCCCTGCTCCCTTGGAAATGGCTTGACATTTGCCCCTCAGTGGAAATCAGAAAATGAGTTTTTTTGCTTGTGCACATGGCTTTTGCTTTACCTGTCAAGCTGTTCTTATCTCAGCCCACAAGATGTAAACAACACTTTTCCTTTCTGATTCTCTTCCCTGCCCTACTGGTGGGAAGTTAGCGACGCATGGAACCCAGATGCTTACTGAGGTTAAACCACAACATGATGGGTCTGAGATTTAAAGGATACATAATTTAAGTACGGTACTGGTGACGGAGTATTAGGTTAGAAACCATTTACAGTGCCTTCAGTGATAAGCTGTCCAAGCAAACTGGTTCAAAGCACAAAAGGAAAGGACTCCCGGTCTGCCCTTCAGTTACACATCTCCTGCATTCAGATAAAAACCAGGGATAAGAAGAGCTTTGCCTTCCAGAACCTTCATATTTTTGCTTATGAGGTAGAATGTTTCCACAAAAACAGAGACTGAAGGTTAGTTTAGAAGTATTTTCTGCCTACTCATAACTCCAAACCCTTTCAAGTGCACGACCTCTCACCCAGCTCATCATCTAATTGCCAGAAAATAAAGAGCTACCCATAATAAGGGACAAAGAGATAAAGTAGTACAAAAAAACTTCCCAATACTTTCCATGCCTGCTAGAGGTAATAAGCCATTCTATCCAGCCAATTAAATAAACAAACAAACAAATTTATATCTGGCACACTTAAAACTGAAACCTGAAATCTAAATTTCTCATGGGGATTTCAGAGGAGGGAAGGGAAACAGATCCAAAGAGCAACTAATGGAACACCCTTCCATTAGCTTCACTTACAGCTAATGCACTGTTGGCTAATGCTTGTAGATTAACTTTTTTAAAAATCTATTTTAAAATAATTCTGATCAAGTCTAGGTTCAATCTCTTTAGAAAATCAACATACACTTTGTTACTAATCAAACCTTGACAAAAATTTGCAAAACAGCTGATACTGCATCACTTTTAATGTTCTGACAATAAAAATGCAGATTTAGGTTTAGTTTTCTGAAAGCAACCAACAGTTAACGTTACATTCTGCTAACATTTGGAGAATCTACTTCTGTTATTTAGAAAGAGCTTAACAAATTAATGTGATTTAAATTAATTCCTTTTGTGCAGAGACAGCAAGACACATTTTTTCCCATTAACTTCTGCCACACGTCACAAAAATACAGCAACACATTCTTGCTTTAGAACTGAAAGAGTAAAAATAGATTTTTCTTCAGCTGAGGTCTGACTGAAACTTTGCCCTTGAAGATAAGCACGACTGGATAACTTGGGAAAGAATTACTGGTAAAAATCAAACGACCATCAACTGTGAGCATCTTACCTTTAAATAGGATCCATAATATTTAGTTACATAGGGACTGTCACACTGACTCAGCACTGTGATTTCCTGTTGGATGTCTTCTATTTCATCTTCTGCTTCTTCTAGGTCAATGATTTTTATAGCAACCACTTTCTGAGTCCGATTGTCAATTCCTTTAAAAACTTCACCAAAAGAGCCCTTACCAATTTTCTCCAGTTTTGTAAACAGTTCTTCTGGATCTGCCTTCAGAGTCTGTTAAAAATAAGAGAAAAGTTACTCAGTATTTGTAACATTAAAATGAAATCTGGCATTTTCAAAGGCTGCACACCCTTCAAATTGTACAGAGTCCTATTTATCCAGCCACCCTTTTTCTATCTCTGTAATTAATGTGCTCTTAGCACCTACCCAACGTGCACATATTGCAACATTTACACTTTGCTGTACATAAAGTACAAATTTATCACAGTCCCTGGAACCAGGATTTCTCCTATCCAGCATGAGAAAACACTATTGCCTCAATTCATTTTTCTTGGCCAATAAATTGCACCTAGGCACTGAGAATGAAACACCCCCACAAAGATCTGGTTTCTATTAAAATTAACATGGATCAAATATAAAAGTAATGTGGATTTTTTTTTCTGTTCCTTGCTCTTTAAGTTGCTTCTTTCCCAGAATGCTGTCTTACTCCTCTGAATTTTTCACATACCTCATCCTATACGGATTTTGTTCCCACTCTTCAGTGCACTGACTATTACTTCTTATTGCTTCATGTGGCAAGCAATTCTCTTTAACTACGTTCTACTAAAGACCACCTGTGCAAACTGCCACGCTTCCTTCATACTCCTGCTCCCAAGTTCTTCCTGGAACAGGATTTTTTTTTGCTCTTCTCCCAGTTGGATGAGGTCATTCACTCCTTGAAACAAAAGCTGCCTTGATTTGAACAGTCAAGTGAAAACTGATTGCACACCTAAACATGTCACCTTAAAAAAGAATGCAAGATCTTCATGAACTATTTTGCTACAGTTGTTTTTTCTTCACTACCAAGTATTCAGCTCACTACTGCTGCTCTTCACACTTGCACTGTGCAGACGCTGAGCTCCAGCATGCGCCTTTTTCATCTGACAACAAGGAGTCTTTACAGCTAATCAAAATACATATTACAACTAATTGGAAAAGTTATAGCTAGAGGGAATAGGCATGATAGGAAGAAACACAGAACGGCATTACTTAGACCCTTAAGAAATAAATCAAACACCTGAAAAGACGTGTTAATGTTCTTAAAAGGATGAGGTTATATCAACTGAAGTGAAAATACATTGTTGGTATATAAAAAGATTCATATAAGAAAAAAGATCAGTAATTGCAGAAGAATAATGGGGCAGTAAAAGTTTCTAAGTTACCACAGACAAGCACTGAGACAACATATCCTCTTCAGCAATTGAAAAGCACCTCCCACCTATACTTAACTTCTACTTCTACTGGTATCTCAAAGGTTGCAGAATTGATCCTTGCAGCCCCAAGAAGGGGATCACCAAGACGGTGTGTTAGTTCATGTAAAGCTATAAATCACACATGTTTAACATCTGAATAAGTTCTTTTGAGGACCAGAGAGCTGTGACTGTTTGAGTTCAGAGATAAAGCAGGGAGTGTGTTTGTGGAGCAGCCTGAATTCTATTTCTAGTTGTCAAAAAATATTACTATACTACGACGTCTAATACTTTAAAGTAAGCTACAAGACATCATGGTTGAAGATGATTCCAGGAACAGATGGCCAGTGAGATCCCTCCCACAAAAGACACTTATCAATGCATGCTGTGAGACCTCAGCGGCCCCAAGAAGTTCCCCCAAGCATCTTTGTGACCTACCAAAGTCAGCTTCAGGAAACAGACAGAAGGACATGGGCTTTTGTGACCCAACAGAGCTATATACCCAACTCGCTTCCACCGAAACGAGCTTGAATTTCAACGTAATGAGAACTACATACTACTATATCCTACATACATAACATGCTCATCTATCTCCCACCAGGAAACCAAACCGGAGCACTTCACCATTTCCAGCATGTGTAATTACCACTAGCTCCAGTGACAACCTACCAGCACTTCCAACTCCAAAAAAATCACAAAACTAAAGCACTAAACCAATTTGTACTGAAGTGGTTCTCCTCACGTGCCACAGAATGCTCCCTTACCATTATTCAGAACAGACACGTCTCTGAATAAATCATTTATACAAAAATCCCAGTACTTGCATCAAATACTTCCTCTTTTGGAAAACAATTCTTGCTCTGTCTTTTCATCCATACTGTTCAGACTTGAGTTGACATGGATTCGGGGATCTCTGCACGCTCAGTTCATCTATACAACCCAAGTGCCTGGAGGAAAGATTTATTATTAAAAACCCTTTTCCTTCCCAAATCAGAACTGTTGTAAACACATATCTTAATTTTAAAACTTAAAACTTACCACTCCTGAACTCTGTTCTGAGCCATGGGAGGCAGCAGCTGTTCAAAGAAATCTCTCTATCCCCTCTCTGAGAAGGTCCAAATTTTCTTCCCAGGAGATCAAGTGCTTAAAGGCAGAGCTGTAATCTACTGGCAGTTTGTCTGCATGGAAAACTACCCGTTGGTCTCTCTTTAATAGTCTGCTCTATTTCAGAAATGGACAGATCAGGCCTCCAGATACATAACGAGCTGCTTGAATTTGCAATTACACGAGTGGCCAATTCCCATTCATTTCCCTAAGATAACATCTGGGAAGGATTCTCACCAATTTTTGTTTTGTTTCTGCAAGACTTCCAAATAGCCAAAATATACAAATAGCTTTACAAATAGTCTCTCCATATGACTGAATAGAGAAAAATGCCTTCCATAGATTCAGTCACTTCTTTTTGCTGACTCTGCTCCAGAAGTTTCTGCATTGCATTTTTCTACTAATGTTATAATGCAAAATGAAGGGAACCAATCTAAGAACCTCAACACAACTGAGCAGACTGAATATTGTGAGAAACCACAGAACACAACTGCAGCATCTGCTCCAAAAGGATAAAGTTAGTCGTCTTGTTTGGCAAGGAGCTAAGCGCTCTGCCACTACATTTCTTTCAAAGTAGGCCACAGGATCCATCCTGCAGCAGAACAAAAAGAAAAAAAAAGGAACACTTACATCTAATGATTACAGAAAATCCGATGCCCATATGTTAGTTAGGGCAGTGTGTTAGATGGCTTCTCACACTCCTAAGCATCAATCACAGGCATCTTTCTCTTGGATTGCTCAAAGTCCTTCATAAGCAGAGTCATCATTCTCCCAATGACAAGTAACTTCTCTGTGCTCTGTCCCACGCTGCTTTCATTACTCCTGACCTTAATCAGCCAGAGCAGTATACTGCCCTTAAAATGAACTCTTCTCAATACTCCGCTCAGTCATCAGTGTTGCCCACTTCTACAGAAAGAAAAGACAGTACAGAATATTCCAAGATCGTATTTGTTCAACTTGGCCTCATGCCTCACACCCAGCTGTGCCCAACCTGTTGGAAAGGTTCTTTATAATAATTCACACTTACTGTACCGAGCACTTCACATTATTTTGTTCAGCAATTCAAATCCTCAAGGTCACAGAGTTCTTCAGCAATGGCCTAACCCTCTTAAGTATAACGGTTGTCCTTCAATATTTTATCATGAACACATTTTACCTGCATGTAAACCTCTTCTTTCTTTTTCCAATTCTAGAATCAATTCTCAGTCACCAACAACAGAGATTTGGAGAAACCTGCAGTTTCTCCACTGCCATCACCTGCCCAGTACTTCCCTCAAGGCCAGCACTATACACACCTCAGAATGTATTTATTTTTAAGTCTCAAATTCTCATCTGAACAAACCACTCCTGTAGTCCAATAGAAAATGTTACCAAAATTCAGATTTCTTAAATCATGTACACACTTCTATCTTTATTCATAACTATTCTGACCTTAGGCAAGCTTTAACAGAGTCCCTCTCTGATAGCAGCCTTTCAGCACCTAAAGAAGATAAGAAAGAAGGGGCAGATTCTTTAGCAGGATCTGTTGTGGTAGGACAAGGGGAAACAGTTTCAAACTAAAAGAGGGGAGATGCAGACTGGATATAAGGACTTTTTTTTTACAAAAAGGGTGGTGAAGCACTGGAACAAGTTGTCCAGAGAGGTGGTGGATGCCCCATCCCTGGAGACATTCAAGGTCAGGCCGGAAAGGGCTCTGAGCAACCTGCTCTAGCTGTAAATGTCCCTGTTCATCGCAAGGCAGTGGGACAAGATGACCTTTAAGGGTCCCTTCCAACTCTAAGCATTCTACAATTCTATAATTTCATTCCAATTCTCGTTTCTAATCTTCTTTTATGAGGGCTTACATACCTGGTTATGACACAAATGGGATGAACAAAACTATCTTTAACCTGCAAGAATCCCAAGCCATCTCCGTGCTCAAGTTCTCTAATTATTTGAGTAACTGATTTCAATTGCAGATCTGATTTCTCTATGGCTGCTCTTTTGAAACAGACAACGATCTTTCAATTCCTCTTCTGCATACTTTTCATTTTACTAAGCCAACATCCAATTTGTCTGTCCAATCTTCACTCCCTAGTAAGCCCCAGCCCAAAATACCATCACCTGAGCAGGTTCAGAGATCTCTGGTGAATATCAGGTACCACATGGTGAACTGCCTTGTGACTGCTGCCGATTACTGCCTCTGCTACCACATTTGGAGATAAATACGTTTTGAGTCTTGTTTATATGCAGATAATGCATATAATAATGCATATAAGAAATGCAGATAAACCTGGACAGACGCTGTAATATGATGTTGCAGGCAGTGAACTCTATAAAGCCATTAAGGATTGGAGAAACTAATGGAACAAAATAAAACCTGACATAAAAGAAATCCATCAAAATAATTTCTGGCTCAGAAAATACTTGAGCAGTAAAATTTACCTTAATTTGTGGAAGTATGCCATGGAAGTACTGCAAATTATCAAATTCCTACACTTTTTTTCTTAGACGTCGACTCGTAACACCATCAAAGCCCTGGATCAGACGGGCTGTGTCCAGCTGATACATTCTGAAAGCACCTGCATCCAAGTTAGACTTCCAAAAAACAAATTACAGTTTATAGCACAGCCACTGTATGCTATAGTACAAAATTAAGAACTGTGAAGTCAGACAGGAAGATTTCAAGGCCACTGCCACTTTAGGAATTATCTTCCCAGTTGCCTCTTCTGTCCTGCAACTGCAAGTCACCACACTTTCACAGTCTAGACAAGATACTGTCACTTCTTTCAGGTGATAAGGGCAAAAGATAAAAGGGAAGAAAAAGGTACAACTTTTCTTCTGAAGACGCTATTACAGGTTAGTCACCGTACAAGTTAAAAATGAACCATCTGTGGTTACCTTCATCAAAAAAAAGAAAATCATCAACTTCCTACAAATGTCAACAGATGCACAGAAGAGAAAGGCCCTTTCCCATGCCAACTCACCAAGGCTTACGAGTTGGAATAGCTGGTGGACAAAAATGCTTGAATTTGCGCTTCAATCTTTCGCACCCTGGTTGTTTCACACAGAATCTCCTCTTTGCAAGGACTAGTTTGTCTGAACTATGCCATTAATTAGCCTTGTCTCACTGACTGATTGGAAGAAAGAGCAGCCTGGAGTATTTTAGCACTTCTGCACAGAAATAGAAGCAACATAGCATATCCATCCATTTCGGAATGGCAAAATAGTGTTTGACGTGAGCAACAACGCTGTCCAAATAAAAATACTTCAGCTCTATTTTCAGCCACACAAAAAAAGTGTGCAAAAACATGAGTTTCTCTTCAAGAGACACTGTTGTGGTACTCTCTAGCAGGGTCTGTGCTGACAGCACAAGGGGAAATGGTTTCAAGCTAAATGAGGGGAAGAAAAAGTGTTTTACAATAAGGGTAGTGAGGCACTGGAACAGGTTGTCCAGAGAGGTGGTGGATGCCCCATCCCTGGAGACATTCAAGGCCAGGCTGAAGGGGGCTCTGAGCACCTATCAAGCTGTGAGCTTCCCTGTTCACTGCAGGAGAGTTGGACTAGATGGCCTTAAAGTCTCTTTCAACTCTAAGGATTCTAATATTAATTTTAAAAAGTCAACAACAAAACAACAACAAATAAATAAACACAACTGAATCCTTCAGTGGTTTCACAAAACCAGGAAGAGCTGCTTACAGGAAAGAGAAGCCTCAAATTTTACTGCTCAGCATTTTACCTTTCTCAGAAGCTGGTTACAGTTTTTGCTTTCAGTGATATAAATACACTGTACATGAATAGCTGATACAACACATAAGATCGTTTCCTGTAGTTGGTGGGAAACTGAAATAAGACACAGCCAAGATGCCATAAATTCTGTCATGAAATTTCAGCAGCTCATAACCAAAGGGTGGAGAGGAGCTGAAAAAACTTTGCACCTCTCAAAGGCTTTAGATGTTGAACAGAAATGAAAATATCTACAGCATGCATCACAGTGGCCTTACTAATGCTGACACCTTTTTCACAGTTTAACTCCATTACTCTGCTTTCTAATTAGATTGGAACATGCTTTAAGCATTTTGGGGGGAAGAAGTTGCCTGAACTCAGCTTGTCATAAAAGTATTCCTCATCCATCTACTGCACAACCATTTTTCATCTACTTTCAAGGAAAATGCACTTATTTGAGGGTCAAAACACAAAACATTTGGTTATTTATCAATAACATGGAAATATCACTGTGCAAATTCCTACCCTTATGATGAACAGCTGAAGAAATTATAGTAATAGAAGCATGTTACAATAGAATGTATGTAGGATCAATGCTGATTGAGGAAAAGAAGAAAAAAGAATGAGTTTTAGGGTCTACAGCAATCCCACAAGGAGGAGGGGAAACCTATAATTTGACAAGTCAGTCAATCACTTATTTACTCTTATGACAAGATATTGTCATAATACATATAGTATATTCTATACTCTTATGAAAGATATTCTCACCATAGAATTTCTCACTCCACATCCCAAGTTCAGCATATGCTGAAGTGATGCTTCCCAGTGTGTCATCTCTGTCATTAATTGACATAGGCACACATGCACAAGGAAACATATCCCAAATTAAGAGATACAAGCAGACAAACTCCAAGTCCTCAATTTAAAGAGCTTACCAGTAAAAGGCATTGTGACTACAGAACTGCATCCACACAAACGGTCGCTTTTATCCACACACAATACACACATTAATTAAATGGGACTCCCCCAGTGCAGGCAGGTATAACATCAAAGTAATGAGATCAAATTATGATACGATCTTGCAGTATCTTGCACTAGGTACCAGGCTGGCTCTGTTCATCAGCATTTGGTGCTTCCCTGCCAAAGATGGGGAACATAAATACCAAAATTTGAGATGCAGACAAGATAAATATGATCATTCCCCACATCAGGATCACAAAAGATGCCATTATGTAAGTCATCATAGGAACCTCGTATATCACGCATAGCACAAGTCTCAACATTTCAACACTTTGGCTATATCCATATTCTTCTGTGTCCTTAGGAACTGAGATAACAGCTGGCACCTTACCCACACATGAGGCCAGGACACGGAACCTACCGTGATGTCTGAATCATAGAATCATA